AAGAAATTAAAGGAAAAGAACTTAGAAAAATAATTATAATCCCTGTAAAGAACATTTTCTCTAGAAAAGGACAACCAGGAAATTTGGAGCACTTAAAGATTTATGAAAGAGAAATTATGCCTGACCTACGTGGTTGTCTTCTATGACAAAATCACTGTGTCCACATGGATAAGCAGTAAATGTAGCAAGCAAGTAAAAGGAGTAGATACAATAGTACTTGAATTTGTAACAGGACTTTTGACACCATCTCTCACAGTGCTCTCATTTGGGAGCTACGGCTGTATGCACAGTATGGACCATTAGATGGACTGAAAGTTGGACTGTCAGTTGTGCTCAAAGAATAGGACTCAATATTTTCATTCTCAATGACCAGAAACAAGTGGAGCACTATGAGGTCCATAAAGTGGGCTTATGCTGTACAGTATCTCCAAACACAGTCTCAATGGTTGAACAAAGTGAACCCTCAACAAATTTATGACTGATACTGAACATGGAAAAGTACTTGGATATTGAGAAGTTCAGAGGAGCTTTTTGAGATAGTCAGATCTTACAGACATAACCTGCCTGAGAGGTTGAGGGAGTTAGTCTAATTTACCTGACAAAGAGGAGGCTGATAGCAGAGCGTGACTACTTCAAGGGCAGTTACAAAGATGATGAAGTCAAACTTAATGTGTCAGACAATACAACAAGGGTAAGCTTAGGAGATATAAGTTTAGGAGAATCCATTAGAAGAAACTTCATCCCAGGAGGGCAAGTCAAAACTCCATGTGAACTCCATGTGAACTCTCCATCCTCAGGAGATTTCAAGACTGGTCTGAATCTCAATCCTCAAGAGATTTCAAGACTTGTCTGAAAAAAGTCATAGCTGACATCCACTGTTGGCATTAGTCCTGCTTTAGGCAGGATGCTGGACTAACTGACCTCTTGTGCTCCTTTCTGGTTCATTTCTCTATGATTCACTCATCCCATTTGATTTATTTTGAAACTATATACAGATTTCACATCTACAAAATACTATGAGAAGGATATTCATAGCTTAAAAAAAATGCATGCCTGACCTGTCTAAAGGCAAATTTAGCTCCAAATTTATACCTGTAGGACAGATCTAAATAGATTTGTAGGACAAAGTATGATTTTCTCTGAGTTTACATATACATGCATAAATGTTTACATGCATATTAACACATTTCTACTTTTTTAGCACCATTATTTCAGAGATTCCAAATCAGTATTGAATATAATTCAGCATTATAGATTCAAAATTATCTGTATATGCGATACTTGGCAAATCAGAAGCTGTAAATACTCCCCAAATTCTCAAAAAGTGAATTATGAAACATATTTATGAATATATTTGTGATTTATAAAATATATTTGTTTCTAGGTCCAAACTCTCTCCTAAGCACTACAAAGTATAAGCAATAATAGTCTTCAAAATAGAACTGAGGAGAATTTATGAAATGGATACCAATGAAAGATGAATGCTATTTTTTTCTGGCATTTTAAAAACACCATTTCATTTTTAAAGTGCATGGTGGGTTGTTTTACAATATCTATCTAGCCCTGCTTACGTGCTGCAAAACCTTGTTGTCAATATATTATAATTAGGGACAGGTCCTATTGAATGCAGATGACACTTAAAATGTTTTGAGTGCATGTGGGTGAATACAAGAGTTATCTTCATCTGAATTTGAATAGAGAGCAGACTCCTACAGTCTGGACAGTGACAGCTACTAGCACAGATATCTGAAACACTTTAGCTAAAGAAGCCTGAAATACTACTCTTCAGCTGCAGTCCTTGGCCCACTCTCAGCATTTTATTCTAGCCTTTGTTAGCTTATTGCTAGAAAAGAGCTTGTACCAAGCTCTTTCTTTCTCTCATATTTCAGTTACAGCTTGCATTAACATTTGTACATCAGATTCAGAGATTTCATTTTTAGTTTGTAGTAGTAGTGGGCCATGAAATCTCCACCCAGATGAAATCCTTGCAAATATCCAAAGAAGATTAAATAGAAAGCATTGCTTTGGATCCAGTGGAAATTTTATTCACAAAATGAATGCAATGATTGTATTTCTTAGATGAATATATTAATTATACCTACATAATCATAGAATGATGGTAAAAACAGAAAGCTAATAATTAAACTGATGCTATTATTGATATACTCTATATAAGAATATTGTATCTAAAGTTTTACTAACTTCATAATTAAGGAATATAAGGAATATAATGTCCGTATAAGGAATACGCACAACTTCAGTGGATTCAGTGGATGGACACTCCTGCCTCTAGCAAGAAATTACCCTCAAGCTTCCAAAGAGCAATTTCAATTAAAGAGAAAACAAGCATTAAACAATGATTAAACCTTCTTAAGAGGGCAGCGCATCATTGATCTAAATGGTGAGATACTGAAGTTTCAGTCGCTACTCTGATTCTTAGAAGGGGTTTCAACACATTCCTTTGATAGCATATTCTTGACCAGTGAGTCATCTGCATTTCGTATCAGAGCAACTGCAACATGCAGTACCAGTTTTTACACTGATTTACTTGTATTTACTTAGTGTTGACGGTACATCACTGTGTTATTTGTCCATAATCAGTAGAAGAGTCACTTTTACTTTTGACTACAGAAAAAAAAATCTTTTAGATTATTTTCTATTTATTTTTTGAAGAGTTCAAAGTGTTCCTACTTTAGAAATGTAAGAAGAGACAAACAGGGAGTATGATATAAGGAGGACTGAAACCAGGTTAACTCAAAAGGGACTTTTGTTGATTTTTTTTGCTTTTGTTCTCTGTAAGAAAGACCTCTATTTTTATTATTCAGTGTTCAGCTTGAGATAAACAACAGTAATATTTTTAACATTCAGCCTTCCCACTCTTACAAGTGGGAATCTCAATGTTCACATTCATGAGACCTCTAACAAACCTTCCATAGAAAAATCATTTTATCTATTTCTAGTATGTGTAAGATGAATACAACCAAAGGAGTAATTGATCCCTTCTTCAAGGCTGGTCAATAAAGTAGCTAGAAATTATATATGTGTATGCTTGTGTCTGTGCTCCTGCTCTTTACAAGTTAAGTCTTTTTACATTATAAAAAAAGAGAAACTCCATGAAACAGTAGAAAGACTCAGTATCCTGAAAGCAAAACAGTGCAATAGATGGTCCTTTATGAGTTGTTTGTAAAAGCCTTATTTAGAATAGAAAAGCTATTAAGGAGATGTTGTACTAGATGGGAGTTGTTCAGAGATTATCCAGAACATACTCTTGTTATCTTTGAAGAAACTAAGCTATGTAAATTCAGACTTCTGGATGAGTTGAATTAGTTCCAGGGCAACTTCTTAGAATAGATTTGAGCTGACAGTGAAGTCAGTGAGAAACTTGTGCTTTCAGAAAATTGCTGCTCATCATCCTAGTTTGGTACAAAATCAGGAAGCATCAAGTCTGCCATTAAATGTAATAGGATTTTAGAGTTCCTAGAATCTGTTCAGTATTATTTCTAATTATTCATATAATTATCTTCATTTCCTGTCCCCCAGAAAAAAAAAGAAAAAACCTGTGAAGCTAACAGTATCATAATTACCTATTCTGTATACTTAATTTTGAGTAAAGAAAGGTTATTTTCTTTCTTTTGTTCAAAAAAAAAAGAAAAAAAAGAAAGAAAAGAAACAGAACATTTTCATTTCATTTGCACTTTTTCCTCCTTATGCCTACTTATGTACGTGCAAGCTATTTTGGGGGGTAAAATGTAGTTGAAGTATTTACTCTTCTGTATTATGATGGGATTAGATCAATCACTATGTTATATACATAAATCTGAAGTAGCATATTCAATATTGTTGATCCTCTTTCGCAGATAATGTGATTAATTTAAAAAAATCACCAAGTTTAATTAGCCATTGAAAGATATTCTAAAAAGCAATTAAAAAGAAAATATTTTGATTTTGAAAGATTGCATGTTATTGTTTCATAGTATGAATGTCTTCTTTCCTTTTTTCACAAATTCCTTTCAAAATATGTAGAAATTTTGACAAATACATCACCACAGTGTAAAAATGAGAAATGAGGTTAGATCTCCGAACAGTTTCAACTCAAGAGAAAAGAAGAGAGAAGAGGGCATGAGGATCATCATCTGTCCTTAGAAGTAATTACCTTTACAAAAGTCTAACTAGATCCATATTGCAAGTAGGTCTTTTAATTGTAACTTGGAAGAACTAGAAAAAGACTTCCAGATTGCCTCTCAAAAGCTTAGCCTACCATGCCAGCCATACACCAGAGTCTAAAACATGACACAGTGACCTGTGTGATAGTTTTAAAAATCATGATAGTTAAGCAACTAGTTCATTAAAATAATTTTCCTGAAAATATTAAGAATATTTGTTTTGTCAGATTTCCATTAAAAACGGCATTCCACATACAATATTTCTAAAGCTTTCTCTGATTGTCTTTTTCTTTTCTGAAAAGTAGAGGAAAAGAGTGATTATAATTACTAATTGATGGATAACACAGGTATTTTAGATGCCATTTTCAAGCCTGATTGCAAGGAGAAAAAAAAAATAAAAGGTGCCAACAAATTTTATATAAAAGAATAAAGTAATAGTATTTTATAAAATATCTGCCCTTGACTCAGAACATTATTCTAATATTTCTTATCTTCATATGTTAGGAAGTCTGTTGTATCATATCAAAAATATATATTCAGCAAAATTGCATTTAATAAAAAAGTTTGTCCTTCAAAACAAGATTATATATAACAAAATAAAAAACCTAAACATAGTAAATCTTCCTCCTATTTATTTTTTTCTCTTTTTTTCTCAATTAGCTGTCTTGAATTGATTTGTAAATATGATGATAAAGTCACATTATAGCAGGTGACGTGAAGCTAGTGCTGAATTTAAGATTTATTCTTTTAGTATAAAATTAATCCCAAAATTGTATATGCATCAAGTATATAATATTACGTATACTTTTTTTTTCTTTTTGTGTTGCATCTTATTCTGCATATTTTTCTTTTTAATATCCCCTCGTGTCCTTCACAAAAATCTTGAGTTCCAAGTGTAGGCTCAATATCTGTAGATCCAAGACAGCATTTACACAAGAAAGTCTTTTACACAAGAAAATTAATTAAATTTAACCCAGAGTATAACATATATATGTTCTCTTTCAAGTAAAGTAGATATTTTACCTTCTTTTTGTACTTCACAATGCAATTTTACACAGAATTACATTTCAGTTAGCACTGAGAAGTTCAGGTATGCAAGAGTAACGCAACAAAAGCAACAGATTTTTAACATACGCATTTTCCAAATGGATGCAGCAAGTCGATAATACAAAAATCATATAATGGTAAGGTTTGTGTATTACCTAAAATCTGAGCCTATCCGTTTTCCATTTTCTGGTTCTCCAGGATCTGGACACAAATTGGATGCCTGTTTAATACCTCCCTCATTTACTGCAAAACAAAACAAAACAAAACAAAAAACAAAGTAATACTATTTTTAGGAAATGCAAATTCAAACAATTAACAAATACAAAAAATATCTTCAGTTTTGGTCATTTAAAACGGATTTTCTGTAGAATAGCATTTTTTCATATAATCTCTAGTTTCAGTATATGTATTTTCTCTGCAATAAATGAAACACTTTATTTCTTTATGCTTTCAACAAATAACACTATTTTTTAATAAGTTGTATTAATCACCTATTTTCCTTGCTTGTAATATTATTGAACCCACATGAAAATGTCATTGTTATTCCTTTAGAAGTATTCGTATTTAAAGGAGTATTCAGCAAGTTAAAGGGCCAAAAGATATTACTCTGAATATAATCTAAGAGCTGGCCTTTCATTCTTGAATTATAATAAAATTTGAATAGATACGCTCATGCTGAGAGATCTGTCCTTAATCATTATGGAAAAAAAAAGCAGATGCCCCCAAAATATGGTGATCTGGAGATGCCCCCCAAAATTCAAATGCCTGTTTGCATACATTGATCTTAAAATAAACTAAAATGGATCTTCAGAGGGAAACTTCCTGTGTTTACCTCTATCCTGTCTAAAAGTCTGTTATTAGTATTCAAACCAATATCATTTTGCAGAAATTTCTATATAAAAATTTGGTCCTCCGCATATTCAACTTCCTATTCTTTTTTTTTTTTAATGCATTGTGTACTTTCAAATAATTGTTCCATCTTGCAAAATTTTATATTCTAAAAATAATTTGCAGTCAAAAGTAATTCTATATACTTTGCATTTAACTTGAAGTTCAGGAGGTGGCTATCCTAAAAGAAAATCTTAGCAAAGGAGTATTTTCTGTTACTAGTTAAATTCATGATAAGGATATTTTTTAAAAATACAAGTTTCATTTTTTTCTTGTTTTCACAGTATCAGACATGAAACCAATAGATTTATGTCAATCAGAAGAAGTTTTTTCACCATATCCACATTTCTGAGGTTCCAGACCAATGGATTTTCAGTGATAGTCTCCTTTTAAGAAAGAGCTTGCATAAAATTAAGGTAATCACACTGTTTTGTAGAATTGACTTCTCCCAATAAAAAATGTGTTTAATTACATTCCTAAGAGCTTTCTGTTAAACTTCAGCTTTTCATGAAGGCCAATGACATTCAGATTTTTTCTTCCCCAACCCTGGTTACTTAATTGCCAAAGAAGAATTTGGGGATCAGGCAATCAGGATTTCCATGCTGCAGGGAGGATGGGAGGGAAAGGATTTGCGCTTGAGAACAGGTAGGGTAAAATGTGCATGACCTTCAGCTATTTTTTCTGACAATTTAAAGATATTTTAGAACTATAGCCAGAATCTTCTATTTGTGAGGCCTGATAACAATACTAAGTAATATTAAAAAAAAAAAAAAAAAAAAAAAAAGGTGAGGAAGGGGGGAGGGCAACAGTCATTACCTCCATACCTATGGACATAAAAGAATTACTTAAAATAAAGTCTAAGTGGGTCTATTCCTATTTATTGCACTTACTAATTTTACATTTCTAAAAGTCATTTTACACTGCATTCTCATCTCCCAATGGATATAGCAATATTCATTAAAAACAAACAAACAAATAAAAAAATGGATTCAACAGTACAATATCTATTATATTCTACAATTTCTGCTACAAACTGATGTTTGAGAAACTGCCCTGCTTTCTGACATCTTCAATATGATGTTACATTCTTAAAACATACTCCATGAAATGGATTTTTAAAGGATAATTTATGGATGTATTAATATTCATAAAGAAAAGTCTGAGGGAGTATGTTAAAGGAAAATAATTGCAGCGACACAATTAATATATTGCACAATTAAAAATTCAGAACAAGGAGAGCTCTACATAGAAGTTATTAAACTGATCTGCCTCTTAGCTTTGATCCCAGATCTTGAATGTATCTATGAACAAGCTTAAATTCATTCTTATTTCTGTTCATCATTTACATGCTTAAGTGTTCTGACAAACAGGAATACACAACTTAAACTCAGGATGTTTGTCTTTTTGTCTTTTCAGACATAATGCTTGATTTTTCAGTCTATTGATACACAGTTCTCCTGCAGATCCCCAGACATCTGCCCGTATAAATAAGTATATGTATATATATGTCGGTATACCCTATATAGGAGGGCATTTAAAGAAGGCATTCCTTCATGCTCTGAGCACACAATGGGAAGCAGGAAAACCCATAGGTCTAGTCCAGATTGAAGAAGGTCCTCTCGATGATTGTTTTGTTAATCTAAACACTTGCCAAATGAAGTTGATGCATGCTTGTATCAAAACAATGTTATGCTTTTGACTTTACTATGTGCAAATACCTATGCACACGTGTCATATTTCTGTTCTTACAAGGGTAAACCCGATAAGCACAAGTATATAAACTAGACATGTGCATAAGTGCTTGCAGGATCAGGGCCTATGTTTGCAAAAATATTAATAAGTAAGGAAAATTATATTAACATTTTACATTAGACACCTAGTTCATTCAAGAAAAATAATATAAGGAAAAGAAATATTTATAAGAATTACTAGAAGACAACATTTTTTCAAAGACTTTGATAATACAAGATACCATTTAAAATAGATATTCTGTTTACTTCCATTAGCAGTTGACTGACAGTCATTTTTTTGAAGGATCCTATTCTAACACTGTTATGTAAGTACAGATCCAACTGAGGTCACGTTGGGAATTTTACATAAAACAAACAACTAAATGCATACGCTTCTAATTAAATATTGCCTCTTTAGTTGGACAAGCTACCAAAGTGATGAGCTAACAAAGTGCTGGATTATAAAATTAAATCTAAATTATCTTTTTATGATAAGATTATGACTGAATAAAGGCATAAATCAACTTTCCGCCTTCACTTATTCTTGATTTAGGTAATCTACTCACCATAAGAAATAATCCAAGATACCAAAGCTTTCAGCTTTACATAGAATATCACAAAATATTAAGTGATATAAAGAATTTGTTTTGAGAATTGTATTGAAAATACTAACAGATTATTCTATTATTAATTTTATAACAATCACATCTAGATATCATATCTGGTACTTCATGGCAAATATTATACAGTCCCTATTAATTTTTATTTAATGGAAAATTTACTGCTTTGTAAAATACATATTTTTATAAAGACATAATCCTTTTTGTCAGCCATTCAATTACTGTTCTCTTTTGTAACTATAAAATAACAGATAAAGATTCAGCCAGAGACTCCATGCTGTTTACAATAAACACTACTGGATTTACCTTACTATATTTCTTGTTGCATAACCACCCTGCTTGTCAGTCAATGTATAAAAATAACATTTTAAAAGAGTTTCAATAGATTGTTTTCAAATACAATGTCTTTCAGAACTGGTTAGATGATGCAATTAACAGAAAAGTTGAAAGTAGCAGTATGCTGCATTATAAAAAGATGAACTGAAGTCCAGGTTGCTTCATTTTTCTTAGTTAGTAAAAGTCCTATCTAAAAAAAAAATATCAAGATCAAGATTTATATGTTGATAGTTTAAAACCTAAAAGCAAATACATTGAAATGTATTTTCTTCAGGAAATCTATTTCCATGCTAAGTCCAGGAAACTGAATCCATCACTTATGCTTTAAACAAAAAAAAAATTGCAGATTAAGAAGCCTCATAAGCACACATATTTGTTAATTCTTCTTCTCTCCTGTTAATAATAATGAAATGTAGTATGAGCAGACACATGCTACACATTTAATCCATCTTTATTTTAACCAATTACTTTTAAATATTTAAAATGTGGTTCTAGTCCAAAACCTTATTCTGTAAAAATGGCATCTTCTTTAAAATAGATACCCTCTTTAATGCCTTTAGAGTCACACCTGTTTAATAGAAAGTTGTCTGATTGTTCCTTATCAGTTTATCAGGACTCCATCTTCTAAAATGCTGGATACTTTCAGTTTCTGTTTTCCCTAACTAAAATAGAAAGCACTAAGCATATTCAAGATAACAAAATCTACAAATTAGCGAAGAAAATGAGATTGCAGGAAGTGGCATTATGAGCGTTGCATGCACAAAAATGTATGGCTGTATATTTGCATCAGAGAATGGGTTTTGGGTTGCACAGTCTGGAAGGAGGAAAAAAAAATCCTTTAAAATGACATACCCTCACTTCACACTGAAGATTTCAGCTAATATCTGGGAGGCTAAATACTGATTTCTTTGTAAATACTATAAATTTAACCAGAAATTACTGACAAAATAAACATGGAATGTTATGATGCCAGATTTACAGGAAGCCAGCTTTCAGAGTAGAACCATATTGTAAAATTCACCATGCAGATCGAAGAAATAGATTTATAAAAAGAAATTGATTTCAGTTATACTATTAGAAATACATAAACACACAAACGACACAGACAGCACAAACTTCACTCTTGCACTAGAAAAAAGTAACGAAAAAGGAGTACACTCACAGATAGAAAACTTGTTGCTGTTGTCTTTCCCTGGAAACAATTTAAATCCTCTAGATTTAAAATCTATGGCCTTTTTCACTAGTTAAAAAAACAAACAAACAAACAAAAACATGTATCAGGCAATACAGTGTAAAATACTTCATTTCATTTGACAAATTTTATCATGGAAGTATATAAAAACTAGAGTACTGTCTATCTAATAACCTTATATTTTGTACCTATTCTGGAAAAGAAAGTGAAAAAAAAAATACAAAAAGCAAGCATTTAGACCAATTTGTGTATCTGACATAGGAAAGATGTAAGATTTGTAATTTATGTTTTTCTTTACCAGAAACAAGAATGGTGGCAAAAAATGTTTATTTCCATGAACCATATACAGTTGTCACATAATTATGGAACATGGAAAGTGCAAGAATAGTAATATTTTCCTTAAAAATCATTAATTCTTATCTGATATCTTTTCTTTATTAGGAAATATGAAAGTTTATACCTCCACACAATCTCCCCCAAAAAATCCAGAACACCATCATTCTGCTAAATGAAAAGTGAGCAACTTTTAAGCAAATAATATGAAATTCTTGAAAAAACTTTTTTTTCTGTGTTAGTCGACTATCTTTCTCCACTTCTAGAGCATTAAAAAAAAAAAAAAGTTGTCCAAAACACATCAGTGAAAGTATACTGAAATCCAAAACATACCATCAGATCTATAGTAAGCAGATGCCTAAACAAAAAGAAGAGTATATATTCCTTCTCTGCATATATTCTGTAAAGGTTTAATCAGAAGTAGAAATAACTACATATTTGTTTGTGAACAAAATTTATATTAAAATATTGTTGGAAAAAAATGAAATGAAGAACTTAAATTTTGTAATTTTATATTGAAAAAAAAATTAAGTTGACTGTGAGACCGACTTCTAATCTTTATAGAAGTAATACATTGTAATATTTTACCAAGATCAAAAGCCATTTGAACTATTTTCATGCTCCAAAAGCATTCCCGTGAACTGTTTTCAAAATCTATTTTAGATTTGTCCTTAGTTCTGGAATGGAAGAACCATTTTTATTTGGGAAATATATAGATTTTATTCTATGTATTTACATCTTTTGCACAGAGAAAGCAGAAATCTTTCATCTAAAAATATTTGAATACACATTGTAGATTACATTCTGCTGTTCTGCGATTGATTCTGAAACTGAACTTGTTTCATACTTGAGCACCTTTACTTAAAAAGTGTGACATGGAAGGTAGTTGTCTCCCACCTTAACCCCAAACGCCATAGATGAATTGCTTCCATAAATACCCTTATTTTGGGCTGCCTGGCATTGCAATAAATGCAGTTAATTTAGGGGAAGTATGTGTCTTTAATATATTTTTGAAACAAAGCAAGTGGATAAAAAAGAGAGAATAAAAGAAAGTAAACAGATACCAAATGGTAAGAGAAGTAAAGTAAAATCAGCGAGGATACAAAGTGGATTTTCTTTCAGTCATTGGACTAAGTGTCTGTTGTCCCCATACACTCTGTCAATGAGCAGTGAATCTGTATAAGAATGGATCTTCTAAGCAAAATTAGCAAAATTAGTATTTAAAATATATAACTTTAACAACTCTATTTATTTACAAGCTACATGGAAGAAGTTGGATGATGGCAAAATGGGTACAAGGAACTACTGCTGCCAAAGAGAGAGAGATTCAAGGAAGAGGATATAAGTGAAGCCGTATATACTAATCGGAGCAAGCAGCAGGACAGTCGGTCTGGCTGCTACCACCCCCCTGGCAGCTGTAAAGCGCTGATCTGAGCACTGAGCACTTACCCAGAGTTTATGTTAATGGAAATTTTCAAAAAACTGTGAAAGTGTCTTGATGAGCACGGTGTTTAAAACAATCAGGGACTTTTACAATGATTTGCATTGCTTTGCTGAGGCTATTAAGTACTACTAGGAAAGTAAATAACACAGGACTTCTAAAGGTTCTTTACACTAGCAGAGATGAAACCTCCTTTTAACTGGGTTTTGAACACTGATTTACTGCACATCAAGGTATAAATATACTCTGAAGGCATAATTATGCAAACGTACTTGGCCCAAACACACACAGGCACTAGCGTATATGTCAGGCAGCATATGCATGCACATATATTTTAAAAAATAATAATAGTAATAAAAAAAAAATTCCTCTCCCGACAGGTATTTCAGATGAGCTAATGCTTCAAACAAGTAAGTATGGTCAGACTAATATGCTTTAGTGCTTCAGAAGAGCCAAGAGCCAGTGAATAGGCCAGTCTAAACCTCAAGGGTGTCCGAAGAGAACAGAGTACAGCAGAAAGGACCAGACAGACAAAGTAAAGGATGTTGCCTTCAGTGACTGTAGGTCATCAGTGCTCTGGACAGTGGCATTGCATGATTAAATAAATAAACAAATACAGTCATGAAATCCAAAGCTGCCATTAAGTCCTGGCCCTCAGACTCAGATTCTGAACCTCAGGCTGGTTCAGAATCAACTCCAAAACAGAATCTGAAAGTTAGAGTAAGCAAAACAAACTGATTAGAGATAAAATTCAATAACTTATTGAAATACTTCACACCATTAATTGGAAACACCGTGAAAATAGATTCTAAAGAAATATAGAATATTTCTATAGAATATAGAATATTCTATAGAATGTTATTTGAGGTAACCACATGTCCATTGCTGTAATATAAGAGCAATATGGTGTTTTAAAATTGACTTTTAGCACTCTTTGCCACAGCTATGTCTTTCTGTTGTTGTGTTGTTTTTAATCCTAGATTTTAAAGTTAATACTTTCACAGTTTTGTTTCATTGTTTTGTTTTTATTTATTTATTTATTTTGTTGTATTTGGGGAGCAATGCATCCCCTTTCTTTGTACATCTCCAAAAGTGAATACACCTTTGATATTATGGCCTGGTGAAGAATAGACACTATGGTCATAACTTTTCAATACTGGATCACAGATAAAATCAGAATATTTTAAAAAATTGAAAGCTATTGAGGCATCCACCCTGGAGTTTATGCTCATCATTGCTTGTGCTTTTTTGTTATCAAATGTTTTTAATACAGAATTGAAGATAATACTTTGGATGACTTTTTACATAATTACCAGACCCAGTGTATATGTATTATTGAACACTTAATTTCCCATATAATTCTATGGCAACAACTAATTTTGCAAGCTTCTGAAAATTTTTGTTTTATTTATTTTTATTAAATTCTGTGAGAATCAGGAATTGCAAGCTGTTTACTATTTCATAATACAGGTTAAATGAACCAGGATTTAGAAAATTGTGAAATAAATTAACTTTAGTCTTAAGAATTCTTTAACTTTCCATTTAAATATAAATGATTAAATTCCAAATGTCAAAATATTAAATTTAAAAATTGACTCAAATAGGAAGTTAAAAAGATAGGAATAATTCTGAATATTTGTTTTGATATCAAACAAAATGTTATTGGTTGACTCTCTGTTGTTTCTTTACTTCCATTTGACAGTAAGCACCTTCAATTAGATTAAGCCTATCCTGAAGTAATTTCTTAATTTTTGTATTTATAAGCAGAAGATATATTTACTCCTTTCCATGTACCTTGTTTAATATTTATTATGCATTATGAACATACTGTCTTAGTTTCTAGTACCAAGAATACTAGACACAACTTCAAATCTGTGCTTTAGCAGTTCAGCTCCCTGAAAATCTTTACATTCAGAATTTTGAATGTATCCATTTTGAAATAAAGTCAAAGAGAGTGTCTTTTTTTTTCTAATGTTACTGGACATCATCGGGGTCACTGAAGGAATCAGTGTGAATATCTTCAGCTGAAAAATCAGTCATCTTATTTCTCAGTCTACTAGTCTATTTTTCTAGAGATATACTTCTAAGATTTGTGTCTAATTTATTACTTCCATGGTAGATACATTTTAAAATATATCTGAAAGTGTCAGCACATTAAAGTTACTCAGTTCTTTTGAAAGTTTCTATGACCATATAATTGAAGATATATTTGGAAAGAATAGCTTAATAGTAATATCCTATACACTTTCCATATTTAATATTTTAATATTCATATTTAATATTTTTAATATTCAAGTTTAATATTTCTAATATTCATATTTTTAATAATTTAACATATTCAGCAAATTCTCCTATCAGAAGCACAGCATGATTCTCAGAGAACTGGCCAACATTACTGCTATTATCCTCTGTTCAGTGTTGGACAGGTATAAATTATATCTTAGTTGTATTGTTGAGTTACATAGGGTCAATATAGAGAATGAGAGGTGATTTTTACAAATTAGAAAGAATTTTAACTCAACAAAATATTATTTCAAAGGAGTTCAGTTATTCCTTTAGTGAAGTATACTGAGAATAATGACAAACCCAGGTCAAAAAATAAATGCTAACTTACTGCCATGAAAAAAAGACACTGAAGTTTGGAATTAGTGTTCTGAAATTTCTCTTTGACAAATATATTGTCAAACCTTTTACGTATCAACAAATATGTAAAGCAAATACATATCAACAGTTTTTGAAATTCCCTCTCTTTAGTTCGAATAAAATCAAACCAAGCAATCAATCCAATCACACACATGAGTTCATACCTTTTCAAACAAAAAGTAACTAACTTCTACAGTGCCTTTACAGTGAACAGAAGAATGTGGTTTTGCTTTCTTTTTCTTCCTCAGATACTCATATGGTATGTAGTTTCAGAGGCCAGCATAGTCTCAAAAGTGCTAGGTGGCAAGAAAAAGTGTAGAAATTTGAACTCTCCTTCATCTTACCAATACTAGCCACATTCTCCAGAGGTTTCCTACTTAGCTATTAGCCTGTGGCAAAGTTTAGCTTCTTTTCCAAAGCAGAAGGATATAATGCACATTAACATCCATTAACCCATGAACCCCATCAGACTGATAATGATTTATGCTTTTTTTAACTCACGACGCCCTGGTGTAAATAACAGTACAAGATGGTGGCAATTAAAACTAGGATTCTCCATAGGAACACAGCAAACTAATTAAGACTCAAAGAAGAAAAATGAACTAGTAATAACGTAATAACTTTAATACCA